GAACCATATGGACAAGACTTTTGAATATTTATACAATGAAAAATTATGTGACAATTTATTTAACCAAATAAGTCCAATTGTTTTACATATTTTAAAATTATACCAAGTAAATTTATAACTAAATTATAAAAATCTTAAGCTAATAATTGTCAAAGAAATATAATCTTTTTATTTATAAATTTCACCAAATGAGCTCATCATAGAGTTTCATTATCTAGAACTATTATTTTGTTTATATCAATTAAATGGCGAATTACACTAACGGATTTAGTAATTTGAAATTTGTGTCATTTTAATCTCAGACATTTTAATTGTGATATATTTGATCTTAAATTTTGAATCTCGTTTTAGATAAGGATAATTGGAGACATTGTTGCTCAATTTTCAAGGACAAAGTCTTCAATTTGATAAAATATAAATTAGTTTGATAAAAATAAAAGTCAAAAAATTATTTTTAAATTTTTAAAAATTATTTATACTCACCAAAGATAAAATTATATAAAAATGATAAATCTTTTATATTTTTATTTTTTACCAAATTAATTTTTAGTATGTATTTGGATGATAATCATGTAATGGGTGATTGTTTTGTTGATATTTTTGGATAATTATCATGTAATTGATGATTGTATTTATTGTTAACATATATTTTTGAATTGTTATCATGTAATGGATGATTATTAGGCTTTTAATGTATAATTGATATGTTTAATATATGAAATATTTTTAGTTTTGAATTTTTTTTAATTTAATGGATTAGTTTAATAATGATATCAAAATTGTCGCCATATTTGATTTTTAAAAAAATAAAAACTAATTTAACTAAAATAAAATTAAAAAAAAAATATTTTAAAAAATTATTTCTACCCTCCCAAAAGATAAAATTATAAAAAAAAAATATAATGTGTTATTAATTTTTTTTCACCAATTTAATTTTTAGCTTCTTAAAAAAAATTCTAAAAAAGGATTCTGAAAACCAAATCAAACAGAACTTAATAACTAAAAAAATTATAACATTATTCATTAAAAAACAAAACAATTATATTTCAAACAATATGTAAGTTAACCAATACAAAATAAGTTATATGGCAACTTTGCCCTTCAAATGGAGCAATAATATCTTTAATTGTCCTTATTTGGAACACGATTCAAAATTCAAGATCAAATGTATCATAATTAAAAGGTCAGAAATCAAAGCGATACAAGCCTCAAACTATAGGGACTATTAGTGTAATTTGCCCTCAATTAGGAGATAGTTATTGTTGCATTTCGTTAATTTGTGAAAAAATAATATGAAATGTCAAAAGAGTAACTTTTAATGCGTGTGGGAGATGAAAAAGTCCAGAGAAAAAATTATATATATTAAAAAATAATAATCTTTAATTCTATACATTTATTATTTTTTCTACTTTCTATAACAGTAGAAGAAATAAATATTTATTTAATATTCTAGATACTTGTTGACAAAAACTTTTATTTTATAAAATAGATAGTTTTTAATTGGATAAATTACACTTTGTTCCTTTATATTTGATTATTTTTTTACTTTAGTCCTTCAAGTGTTTTTTTTTTTTTTTTTTTTGTCAGTTTACTCCTAAAGCTAACTTTGGTTCAAAATTAGACATAAAATAAAACATCACAACTATTACATAACGTAAAAAATATATTATTATATTGAATTTTGAGATTATGTAAAATGTATGAGTTATACATAATAAAATATTTTTAGGCAACATGACTGTCAATGTGTCATTTTCTATCTAATTTTGAACACAAGTTAGCTTTAGAAATAAATTGAGAAAAACTTAAAACATAAAAGGCTAAGTGAGAAAAAACAAACTTAAAGGGTCAAAGTGAAAAAATGACCAAATATAAATGCAGCAAAGTATAATTTACCCTTTTTAATTTAAATTCTTAGATACCATCCATTTCATAAAATAAAATATGATTAGTTAGTGTGCTTATCATTGTTCGATTATTATTTTTTTCAAGACTTAAGAGATGAACGATTTAAATCACCATTATAAAAGTCTGGAGGGAATATGGAAAAGTTGTAATATTGAGGGGAGCTACTTCCCATAATTAAAGTCTCTAGGACCTCAAATTTTAAATGGATAAGAAAAAAAATTCGAGATAAATGGTCAAAAAGTCCTCAAATCCTAAAAACTCTACAACAATTTTGTATATTTTTTTCTTTATGTGTCTCTCTCCCATACTCTCTCCCACGGTTTATTTTGTTACAAAAAAACAAACCGTATAATTTTTTTTTTGTAATTTATCCACAATAAATAAATTAAAAAAGGTAAATTACATTGACCTTTTATAAGATTTGAAAAAAATATAATAAATCTTATAATCAAATTAGACTGAACCGAATCAAATTAATAATTTTATAGATTCCTTACTCAGCCCTATCTACCCCACACCAATAGATAGATCTACTTTCATTAACCAAACTCGATGCCTAAATTTAAATTTGAGTTTTGTTTAAAATATTATTATGTCTATACAGTAAAATTTAATTTAAATTTGAAATGTGATTATTTTAATTTTTTTTAATTTTTATAAAAAAAAATATGTTAAAAAATAAAAAGAGTGATGTGATTGTGTGTTTTGATATTTTAGCTATAAAAAAACAACAAGGCTACATCCCACTAAAAGTAGTGCTCTAAAGCACTACTAATGAGTTGGCACCCACTTTCTTTTAAAAAAAAAAAAAAAACAACGCACAAAAATATTGTGGTAGTGGGTCTCACTCACTGCCACATCATTAGTGGTAGCACTAATTAGTGTTCCCACTCATTTTTCATAAAAATGAAATAAAAAACCCACACGGACCTTAATCACAAGAAGTTGCGCCAAGAAAGTCCACTTTACAAAGTCATTCTTGGATCTTCTTTTCAAAAGTGGGCCGGGCTAGGCCCAAGGGTTGCAGACTGCTACTTGTGGCCTGGTGATCCTAATACTAGGTCCAATAACTTTATTGTCGTCAAATCGCCAAGGCCATGTTTATTTGACTTTATAGGATGGAGGAGATTAACAGTATAGTAGAATTGAGTGAAAAAATTATTAGTGTGATTATATTAGATTAGAAATAGAGGATAAAGAGTATTTATTTGTACACTAGCAGATTAGTAATATAGATAGTATTAATATATAAAATTAATATTTTTTTAATATTATAATTATTTTTTTATTCTAAAAAATATAAGTAACGTTTTGTAGAGTTTTAAAATTATAATTTGATAATAGAGTTGTATTTTGAGTTTGTGAGTTTTGAAATTATAATTTGATAATGGAGTTGTATTTTGAATTTGTGAGTTTTGGAATTATAGTTTGAAATGATTTGATGTGACACATAATATTTGATTCGAAAACTTATAACACATAACTAAACACACAATTCAAAATTCTATTCAAAACTCATAAAACAAATTCAAAAAATTGCTGAAAAAATATTATTTATTTAAAATATAAAAATAACATATGCAAAAAAAAAAAAGACGAATACTATTCCGGTCAATCACCCGAACAACTGGCCAGACATCCAAAAAGACATTCAGGAGGATGATCAGGTAGACGTGTTTTCAGAAGTTAGTGTGAAATCAATTTTTGAAAAAGCACACCAAACACCACACTCAAATGTAAGGGTAGAATTAAGTTTGCAACGCTCTACCAAACAAAGCCATAATTTTTGCTTAAAAATCATTTGAAATATCACTAATCCCCTCACTCAAGTTCTAATCTCAATCTTACCATGGTTTTCTTAGTCCTACCACATGGAAGGATTACTAGTCCAACCAAAAACTCTTTAGGTGGGTCTCATAGACTATTAATCCAATCATTCTTCTCAAAAAGCCAAACAAACATAATCTAAAGATCATGTTTGATTTGTCTCGTGAGAGACAAATTTTGAAATAAAAAAATTCAAAATCACTTTTTTCTCTATCATAAATCAATTAATCACTTTTTCTCTCATCTCTCCTCTCACATTCTACACATTTATCAATTATTTTTTCTCTCACACCCATTTATTCAACTACAAAAAAAAAAATCTCAAACTCCAAACTTTCAAAATATACAATCAAACAAGCTTTCAAATCTTATAGAAAATTATTTTACAAATACAAACCAAACATGACCAAAATGTCTCATTAAATCATATTTATCTCACATATTATATAAATATAAATAATTTTGTTATATAATATATAAATACATTGCAAAGAATAAGCTACTAAATCATATAACTAATGACATGAAAAATTATCTTTAAAAAAACTTAGAAATTGATTCAATAAAGTTAATATAAATTCATTAAAATTTCAAATATTCCAACACATAAGAAAAAAAAAATTCAAATAACAAAAGATATATGATATCTCGTTGGAAATATTAAAAAAATTCAAGACCAGAACATCACATTACAGTGGGTGGGGTCCATTGCTAGCTCATTAGAGCTGGCTTTAGAACTCAATAATTAGAGCTCTAAAGTATTTTTCTTATTTATATTTGGGACTCCGGACTTTACGGGACCCAATTCATGATAGTGAAATGAGTATTGGCCAAATTGATAGTGGAAAAAATTGTTAATGGAATCAAAGGTGAAGAATAACGTAAAAATTAATTAATTGTGCAATATGAGTTGAATCGCATGATTCAGGTCACCAAACGATACATATTGTACCATTCTAACAATACTGCTCGTGATTGTCATTTCTAGCATTAGACTAACCGTGCCATCATCACAAGAAGTGGCAACAACAATCATTTTCAGTGTTAACCATGCCATCATTGCCTATTTTAGTTCTTCCCAATTGTTGATTACGGAAAGGATAAAAAAATTTACCTGGCGATGATGAGAAATCCCATATAAGGATCTTCAACGAGGAATATTCCAATGTGATGTTAATTCCTTTACAAAACCTGTACCATTCATGGTGAATGCTAATTCATACAAAATACACAACACAATCCTATAATTAGAAGCGTGTAATAAAGTAAAAAGATATGATACATTTCATAATCATAAAATTTGGAACATTAAAAAAGCAGAGTTAAATTAAAACAAAAAATGTTACAACATTAATTCATTTGAATCTGTAGAACATACTGCATTTGACGAAGAGTAATTAAAAAATAATGAGCAGCATATTGCCATCTGAAGAGCAACAACCTATGGGTGCCGACAAGACTAGGCACCTCCCCCAGCGTCTCAAGATAAATTACGGCTAGGTTTGGCATTTTCTAAAAAAATTAAAAAGTCACTATCTTATTTAAGTCATATCCTCTTATTTAAGTCTCATCACCTCTATACCACATCACTTCAAACCTAACCCATATTTCATAAAAAGTCAAAAAATATACTTATTTAGATCATCCCAAACAACTCCTAAATGTGCTCTGTGATTTTTATTAGCTTTGGAAATAATTTTCTCCGAAGGAAAGCCAACAGAAACACTTGTCAAGCAGCCATATGGGTTGGAGTAACTGATGTCCAAAAAGGAAATGGAATCAACATCAAACTTCATCCCTGTGAAGTAGATGAGGCAAACCTGATCACTCGTTTCATTGTTAATCACCAATTGGCAACAGATTGCGACTGTGAATTTTCATTTCTTAGATTGCGGTTGTTGAGTTGTCAGCAATGGGTTGTTCATTGGGCCAGATTTCCCCAATATATTTAGAGCCTTCATCCGTTGCATCTGTTTCCCTGCAATAGAGCGGAAAAAATAAAAACAAAACTTAATGACAATAGCTTTCCATTATCTCATTACCATTGGTTGCCAAAACTAATTAAAACAGTAAATCATTTCAATTTCATGAAATAGATGACGTGGAAGAAAAAAAGCCCAATAAAAGAATAAATGACAACTACAGTTTTGAACAGTGACAAGAGAACTAGCCTTAGCAAACAATTTTGCCTAACTTGTAAACTGATTTACACTAATTTGTCATTATGTGTAACTTGCCTTTAGAGTAAAACTCTCCAATCCTAGCATAGATTTATGAACACGTTGCTCTTGAGAAGAAAAACTAAATATGGATGAATTTGAAAAGAAATGTTCAGCCACCAATAAAGTACACTGTTGTTCCAGAACAGTCCAAAAGAGCCTAATTTCTATGCTATGAAGAAGTATCAACACTAACTTGGACGTTTTGATTCTATCACTCCTTTGGGATCTTGAGACCTTTCTTCCCTATCAATCAATAGCTTAGCAACAAATATTTATCTCACATTTGAGTTTCTTCTACTTGGAACAACTGATAGGAGGCAAAGCCATTGAATGCTGTTCACAGCTTTAATTATTTATCAAATTTTACACCTTAGAAACATAAATATTTCAAACCACTCAGGAACATCCCTTTCCTAGAAGAAGTCTATTGAAAAACTGATAAATTTATTCATGAAGAGAAGGCAACAAACGTAAGAACAGGCGACAACTTCTTACCTTCTTCCACCGTTAGCTGTATTGCTTTTTTCTCCAACCCAACTGCGTGTCTGCTAAGTTCAGCCGGCGACAAATTTAGAAGCACTAACAAGGTCATGGAGAACAACCAGTAAGATTGAAGTGTCAAAATAATATAAGGCAAAACATAGAAATATTATTAACTATCTCCAAAATTAGGCAAGGGATTACTCTGGATATAATCCCTCTGATTAGACTCGTCACACTGCTTCAAGACCTTCTGCAAATGAATAAACCGTTCTGTTTTTTGTTGATCATTGGTAGCCTTAGAATCAGTTGAATGACAGACCTCTGAGTTGACCTTAATGGGAACTGGAGATCCACCGCACATAAAGTCCATCATTGAAGCCATATGATTTGGTCTAACTACAGGAGAACAAAACAAATTGCTCTCCCTCATCTGAGTCTGCTGTCGAGGTAATTCCTGTTGCTTGTGGCAAGAATGCTTTGAGCTCGACTGAAGGTTATCAGCACTTTTGTCCGTACTGTCCTGAATTTTTTTGCCTGGCTCTGAATCAAACTTTCTTCAGGCATTCATGAAATGATCTTTTACACCATTTTTGCTCGAGGAAGGGCCAAAAGGGGGGCTTAAAGGGCACTCAGGTGTGAGTCTCTTAGTTCCAGCAACCTTGATTGCATCTGTGATGGATTTTCCACCCAGAATGGGGGAATTTCCTGGATGATTACATATCAAACTTCTATTATCATTCTGGACATCTCTCAGTGCTATCTTTCTTAGTAGCGGCGACTGTTTATGGTCAGAAGGCATGCCAGCCCCACTGTTGCCCGTCACTTTGCTGTTTACTTCAGAATTAAGCATTATGGAACAAATATTTCTAACTCAACTTAGAGAAAATTGCAAAGGCCTTCAAGTAGAGGCAAAAGCACAAGCACAAGCAGAGGCAAAAGCACAATCACAAGCACAAGCCATAAGATAAAATCAACAAACCCGCTCATGCAACCAAAGTATCTCCCAAAACAAATGTCAGAGACACGTAAGTAACGTAAATACACATACAGGTTTTACTAGATACTGGTCATTGTAGCCTGTGTCCATAAATATACATCCTCAAGATGTGCCAATAAACCAAAGATGCAACATAAAAATATGGCTCAGAATATAGAAATTGTTGGGGATAATTACAAATAAAACACCAGAAAATACAAATAATAAAAATTACAATAATTATTGAAAGGGTTGAGGCGCGGGAAATTCGCTCTCTTTAAGGAGATTCAAGCCCTCTGCGGTTAGGCAAAGCCTCACACCGGTGCAGCAGAAAAAACCTTGACTTGTCCCCTCCAGGATACAACAGCCCAACTAAGTCGTATGGTTAACCAATACTGCACAATTGGTTGAACCCAAAACTTTATCACACACACCCTTTTTATTTGCCTGATAATCTCACACAAGTCATAACAAAGCAACAAAAACTCCTTCACTCGTATATGTCAAGACAGGAGATAAGCTCAATATATATAGAAAGGAAACTTAATAGGCAAGGTTCTTGGTGGATAAGATAACAAGAGACTTGACCAAGACCTTGGAAGCTTATCTAGGAAGACTTGGAATGGATAAGTCTTGGAGGACTAGGAGAAGACTTGAATGGATAACTCTTGGCAAACCTTATCTTGGAAGATTTGGATGGATAAGAATGAAGAGACTAGGAAGACTTGAAAGGATAAGACATGAAGGAAACCAATAACACATTATAATATTAAAATACCTGCTAACATTCTCCCACCTATTTTAATATTATAGGTAACAAAAACTGAGATTATTAGGCAAATAAGGATATTATGCATCATGATAAGTGTGTTCTGCATTGAACCTCCATTAGTGAAACAATAATATCTACTCCAGAGCCAATAGTATGCTCAGCATTGAACTATGACTACTTAAGGGAAATAAATAGTTATTGCATACACATAATATTCCAGGTGTTCACAAAAGCTTTAAAAGTTAGCACATTACGGCCTTGTGCGATCCAAGGATTCATGAGTGTATTTGAAGATTAGCCCAAATCTCATAGGTAACGGCCCCACTACCACACTCACATAAGTGAATTCTGTCAAGGGTGCTCCTGTAACTATGACACCTCACTCAATAAGAGCTACAGAAATTCATTAAGAGTTTTTTAATAACTCAACCTCTACAACGTTCCAGGATAAATGCACTTACATCATAGGGATGGGTAAAAAATAATTTAGTGCATTTCTCACGGCCATCATATGATCGTTTTTCTCATTGAACCCAGTTACAGGATCTCTGGTCCCTGGGTTGAGTATCCTCATACATGGCTCCTGCAATATTCAATGGGCTTCAACCCCATCCCCCTCGATATATTCCAGACTCTATCTCTTGCTAAGGCCTTAGTTAATGGATCTGCAAGATTATCACCAGATTTAATATAATTCACATTTATGATGCCATTATTCATATAAGATCTCACAGTACTGTGTTTTCTTCTGATAGGTCTGGATTTACTGTTATAATAACGATTATTAACTCGACCAATTGCTGCAGTGCTATCACAATGAATCAATATAGGTGGAATCGGTTTTTCCCAACAAGAGATTTCATTTAACAAATCTCTTAACCAATTTGCTTCTTCACTAGCTGTAGCTAAAACAATAAGCTCAACCTCCATTGTTGAATTAGCAATAATGGTTTGTTTTTTCGATTTACAATTTATAGCACCAGCTCCCAATGTAAATAAGTAACTAGTGGTTGATAATGAATCACCTGACAAGGTATTCCAATCGGCATCACTGTAACCTTCAAGTACTGCAGGATACTTATTATAAAACAAGCCATATTTTGTGGTACCAGACAAATATTTCATAATCCGCTCAATGGCTAGCCAGTGATCACTGTCAGGCTTGCTAGTAAACCTGTTAAGTACTCCAACTGCATATGCAATGTCAAGTCTAGTACAGTCAGTCGCATAACGCAAGCTACCAATCATACTAGCATATTCCTTTTGATTAATTACATCCTCATCATTTTCAATAGGAAATAAACGCACATGAGGATCAAAAGGAGTAAGAACATGCTTGCAGTTATAAAAATTATATTTTCTCAAAATTTTCTCAACATAATGCGACTGATTAAGAAATATACCATCAAAGGTTTTGATAATTTTCATTCCCAAAATATAATTAGCCTCACCAAGATCTTTCATATCAAAATGGCTACTAAGCATATTTTTAGTTTTCACGATGATATGCAAATTAGAGCCAAATATAAGTAGATCGTCCACATAGAGGTTGATAATGACATGTGAATTCTCTTCAGATTTATAGTAAATGCATTTATCACATTCATTCGTTTTATAACCATTCTCAATCATGCGGGAATCAAATTTTTCATGCCACTATTTAGGGGCCTGTTTTAAGCCATTTACGGATTTAACTAGCTTGCACACTTCGCTTTCTTGACCGGGTTCCACAAAACCCTCAGGTTGATCCATATAGATTTCTTCACCCAGGTCTCCATTTAAAAAAACTGTTTTAACATCCATTTGATGAATTTTTAGATCATGAATTGCAGCCACTGCAATTAATAATCTAATGGATGTAACTCTAGTAACAGGAGAAAATGTATCAAAAAAATCAAGATATGCTTGTTGTTTGAAACCTTTTGCAACAAGCCTTGCTTTATATTTATCAATAGTTCCATCCGATTTAAGTTTTTTTTCTCAAAACCCATTTACAGCCAATAGTTTTACAACCTAGTGGTAAATCTACTAATACCCAAGTTTTATTGGATAATAATTGTTAGCAGGTATTTTAATATTATAATGTGTTATTGGTTTCCTTCATGTCTTATCCTTTCAAGTCTTCCTAGTCTCCCCATTCTTATCCATCCAAATCTTCCAAGATAAGGTTTGCCAAGACTTATCCATTCAAGTCTTCTCCTAGTCCTCCCAAGACTTATCCATTCCAAGTCTTCCTAGATAAGCTTCTAAGGTCTTGGTCAAGTCTCTTGTTATCTTATCCACCAAGAACCTTGCCTATTAAGTTTTCTTTCTATATATATTGAGCTTATCTCCTGTCTTGACATATACGAGTGAAGGAGTTTTTGTTGCTTTGTTATGACTTGTGTGAAATTATCAGGCAAATAAAAAAGGGTGTATGTAATAAAGCTTTGAGTTCAACCAATTGTGCAGTATTGGTTAACCATATGACTTAGTCGGGCTGTTCTATCCTGGGGGGACAAGTCAAGGTTTTTTCTGCTGCACCAGTGTGAGGCTTTGCCTAACCGCAGAGGGCTTGAATCTCTTTAAAGAGAGCGAATTTCCCGCACCTCAGCCCTTACAATAGTTTTTGTAATTTCTATTATTCTTATTTTCTAGTGTTTTATTTGTAATTATCACCAACAATAATGATTCCATCTCATCATTTACAGCCTCGTTCCAAAAAACAGAGTCAGGAGATGCCAAAACTTCTTGTAAAGTTAATGGAGTTTCCTCCACATTAAAAACATGATAATCAGGGCCAAAATCTTTTTCTAATCTGGCTTTTTTACTCCTTCTAGGTTCAAAAACTACAGTGTCTTAGTTTTGTAAAAGAGGAGTAGAGGAACCAGTTTCAAATAAAATATTTTCTTGATAATTTTGACCCCCTCATTTTTAGATTTAAAAGGAAATTTTTTTTCATGAAAAATTGCGTCACCTGATTCAAAAATTATTTTGTTTTCCATATCAAAAAATCTATAGGCTGTACTATTTGTTGCATATCCAAGAAAAACACAAGTGGCAGCTTTCACACCTAATTTAGGTCTTTTAGGGTCCACAAGTCTAACAAAAGCTAGACAACCCCAAACCCTCAAATATCTCAAATTTGGCTTATGCCCTTTCCACAACTCAAAAGGTGTAACTTTTGTTTTTTTATGTGGCACTCTATTCATAACATAACATGCAGTTAAAATTGCTTCTCCCCACAAATTTGAATGAGCACCTGCTTCAATTAGCATAGTATTTGTTAAATCAGTTAAAGTTCTATTTTTCCTTTCTGCTACACCATTAAATGCAGGTGAATATGGTGGAGTAGTTTCATGGATTATTCCCAAAGACTGAGCAAACGAGTTGAATCCAAAAGATTCATACTCCCGGCCTCTATCACTTTTATATCTTTTAATCTTTTTACCAAATTGATTTTCAACTTCAAGAAAGAATTCTTTAAATTTTTCAAAAGCATCACTTTTATTTTTCAACAAGTATACATAAGTGTATTTTGAAAAATCATCAATAAAAGTGATAAAATATCTATTTCCACCACGTGTTAAAATTCCTTCAAATTCACATAAATCAGTGTGAATTAAATCTAACAATTCAATATTTCTCACCACACTTTTATGAGGCCTTTTAGTTATTTTTGCTTGACTGCAAATTTTATATTTCTCAAACTTATTTGTTAGTCTGGGAATTAATCCTAAACTACTCATGACTCCCATATATCGCCCATTAATATGACACATACGAGTATGCCAAAAATTCATAGAAGACAGTATGTAAACAGAAACATGTGTTTTCTTATTCTCAACATTTAATTTAAACATTCCATCACAGGCATACCCTTTCCCCACAAATATGCCTTTTTTAGTGATTACATATTAGTCAGATTCAATAGTCTGCTTCAAACCAGCTTTGTTGAGCAAATAACTTAACATCAAATTTTTTCTCATAGACGATGTGTACAACACATCTTTTAAAACAAGCACACGTCCAGAGGTAAAATTCAGCTCAACATCTCCACACCCGAGCACCTTGGTTAAACTGGAGTCACCAAGCATAACAGTCCTCTCCTCATTAAAAAGAGTGAAATCTTTAAACCAATCTTTATCATAGCAGACATACCTATTGGTACCAGAGTCTGCCCACCACCCTTCTACAGATTGAACCATAAAAATATCTGTGATCATAGCCACAAATGGTTCCTCGGTAACATTAGTCTGTGGTCAAGACTGTTGTTTCCGAAATTTGCAAGTTCAAGCAATATGCCCACTTTTGCCACACACAAAACATGTCACGTTTGTCAAATCTTGTGAAGGGAGTTCTTGGTTCCATTTCTTTTGCATCGGGTAATTTTTATTTTGTAGCCTTCCAGTATTTTTTCAAATTTTCTTAACTGGCTTCAACTGACTATTTTTATGAAATCGACCTTTAGGTAAAGTATTTCCAGAAGTTAAATTTACCTTAGCAGTGGAGTGCTCTTGTGTCATAAGTGCATCTTGTCCTCGTGCTTCCTCCTCCACCCGAATCCTTGTGATTAGAGTCTCCAAGGATGTCTCTTTTTGCTTGTGACGCATCGACTTCTAGAACTCCCTCCAAGATGATGGAAGTTTGTCAACAATACCTGCTACAACAAGATTGTCTCCAATTTTGATGCCTTCAGATCTAACTTCAGTTACTAACATCTGAAAATCTTGAACTTGCTCCACCACTGATTTTCCATCTATCATTTGATAGCAGAAAAAACGGCTTGCAGCATATTTTTTAGCACCTGCCTCTTCAGTGTCATATTTGTTCTGCAAGGCTTTTCAAATTTTCTTGGCAGTGGTGTAAGTAGTATCATAACAATCATAAAATTGATCTGAAAAATAGTTTAAAAAATAGTATCGACATTTATACTCAGGACTTTGTTCGGATTTTTCTCCGTCAGGATATAAGCCACCTTGAGGAGACTGAGGTAGAAAAACACCTTGCCTTTCCATCTCTTGAAATGGGCTCCCTTGAACCGGAAGGGCTTGTTGATATCGCCGGTATTCTCGTTGGGTTTCTCCAGTACTGGCTCCATGGCTTTTTGCTATTTGAATCTCCTTAAAATTGTTGGGGATAATTACAAATAAAACACCAGAAAATACAAAATAATAAAAATTACAATAATTATTGAAAGGGCTGAGGCGCGAGAAATTCGCTCTATTTAAGGAGATTCAAGCCATCTGCGATTAGGCAAAGCCTTACACAGGTGCAGCAGAAAAAACCTTGACTTGTCCCCCCAGGATACAACAGCCCGACTAAGTCGTATGGTTAACTAATACTGCACAATTGGTTGAACCCAAAACTTTATCACACACACCCTTTTTATTTGCCTGATAATCTCACACAAGTCATAACAAAGCAACAAAAACTCCTTCACTCGTATATGTCAAGACAGGAGATAAGCTCAATATATATAGAAAGGAAACTTAATATGCAAGATTCTTGGTGGATAAGATAACAGGAGACTTGACCAAAACCTTGGAAGCTTATCTAGGAAGACTTGGAATGGATAAGTCTTGGGAGGACTAGGAGAAGACTTGAATGGATAAGTCTTGGCAAACCTTATCTTGGAAGATTTAGATGGATAAGAATGGAGAGACTAGGAAGACTTAAAAGGATAAGACATGAAGGAAACCAAAAAACACATTATAATATTAAAATACTTGCTAACAGAAAGTAAGCAAAATCAAAATATTAATGTTCCAGCTGATACTCAATCACTAAGCCTCTCAAACCCATAAATCTGGCGCTTTCATAAGTTAATTATCATTTCTAGATACTAAGGCCCTGTTTGATTGGGGGATATGAAGATTGGGATTGGATATTATATCCGGTGGGGTCCATATATCCCATGTTTGTAATTTTTTTTTGAAGGGGATATAATATCCGGTGGGATTGTATATCCCCCAAAAGTGGAGGATATACAATACCACCCCCCCCATTGTATCATATCCCCTTGGTTGGGATATGATGTAAAAAATCCAATTTACCCTTTTGCCTATCTAACATAATATAATTTAATATATTTTTTTGAATTTAATATAATATAATTATTGAATTGAATTTAATATTATTGAATTTAATATAATATAATATTATTGAATTTAATATAATATAATATAATATTATTTAATTTAATATAATATAATATAATTTAATACAAATTTTGAATTTAATATAATATAATATTATTGAATTTAATTTAATTTAATTTAATATAATATAATTATTGAATTTAATTTAATTTAATATAAATATTATTGAATTTAATTTAATATAATATAATTATTGAATTTAATTTAATATAAATATTATTGAATTTAATTTAATTTAATATAATATTATTTAATTTAATACAAATTTTGAATTTAATATAATATAATTTAATATAAATTTTGAATTTAATATAATATAATATTATGAGGGCAATCTTGAAAATTACTTGTTATATCTCACAATATATTTTGTAAAATAAACATGCATAACATATATCCAATCTTATACATGAAGTCAACAAACATGACTTGAGAGATATACTATCCAATACATAAATTCTATTCATTATATATCCTGACTAAATCCCACATCATATTATATCCTGTATTTTATATCCAGTAAAACAAGCGCGCCTAAGAAATTACAATTCTGAGTACAACTATTCACTGGCACTTTTCTTGCGTACTTTTTTCACGAGAAAAGACAAATTGTAATGATTAAAATTCACTCAGCCAATAAGTGAGACGATTCCATCTAATATCTAAATTTTTTTTCCATAAATACGACAACACAAAGAAATATAGGCTTCAAACAACTCAAATTGCCCTAAAATCTATTAACCCAGGCAGGGAAGATCTGGAACAATTGTGACAATCATCAACCACATCCAAATCCTATAGAAAAAAACTTGTTCAAGCAAATCAGAGGAAGATGAACAAGTTCCCCAAATTGAACCACTTAACTGGAATTACCTCCAATTGTTAGAATAAAAACAACTTTACACTCCCAGATTAACACTAAATACCACTGAAAATTTCTCATTTTTTCCAGTGCTCGACACAATCGGAAAATCGAAACAACCAAAGATCCATAATTTCTCATTTTCTCAGTACTTGACAGCATACAACGCAAGATCCATAATTATACATTTATATAGATAGAGATAAGCAAAAAATATTTACATTTTTGGGCATAAAAAACAGAAATCTGAACGAACATAGATATCGAAGATAGAGAACACTTGGATGGAGACTTACCCTTCAGTATCAGAGCGAGTTCGCAAACGATGAGAGAGGGAGAGAGAGACGACGCGAGAGTTTTTTTTTCAAAAAAGGAGGCTTTGGCTCCAAAGCAGAGAAATGCCAACAAGTCCTTTTATATGATTATTATACTAGTAGTAACCCGTTCGGGACGGGACTTCATACATCTAACCCAAAAAACAAAAAAAATTATTATGATTATTTTAAAATAATTTAATATTTTATCTTACAGTATGTATATAATTTTTTATATTATAACTTTTTAAATTATTAATTTAAAAAAATAAAATATATATATATTTAGTGTAATTTTAATAATTTGTATTAAAATAAGTAAAATCTAATTAAATGAGTTATGACATACCTCTTCTTATTATGAAAATATTTAAAGGGATTTTTATTAATAAGTCCAATTTAGAAGTGTTTTAACCCAAGAAGTCCATGAAGAAATTTTTTAACCCATTTAGTCCCATGTATGTATAGTTTTATTCCATAAAGTCCATTTTCTTGATTTACACTATTTTCTTGGACACTTATGCCCTTATATTTAATTTTGATACCCTTATAAATATTTTTTCAACGATTACCAATTTAATGATGTAAACATTCATATTTTAAAATTCACATTTGTAAAAATGTAAATTGGCCCGTAGGCGGCCCGAAACCCTCCCGCGAGCCAGGGCGGGCCCGGCCCGTTGACAATGTGAATATTCACATTGACAGGTTAAAATTCATATTAATAGGAGTGTAAAATTGGCCCCCGTCCCGTGGCGGCCCGAAACCAACCCGCGGCCCATGAGCGGCCCGAGGCGGGCCCGGTCCGGCCCGTTAACAATGTGAATATTCACATTGACATGTTAACATTCACATTGATAAAGAGTATAAAATTGGGCCGCGGCCCATGGGCGGCCAAAAGCCCACCCGCAGCCCGGGACGGGCCTGGCCCGGCCCGTTGACAATGTGAATATTCACATTGACATGTTAACATTCACATTGATAGGAGTGTAAAATTAGCCCGCGCCTCGTAGCTGCCCGAAACTCGCCCGCGGCCCGTGGACGGGCCCGGCCCGGCATGTTGATAATGTGAATGTTCACATTGACATGTTAACATTCACATTGATAAGAGTATAAAACTAGAGAGCAGCCCAGGGCGGGCCCGACTCGGCCTGGCCCGGCCCGTTGACAATATGAATATTCACATTGACATATTAACATTCACATTAATAGGAGTACAAAATTGGCCCCCGTCCCGTGGCGGCGCGAAACCTGCCCACGGCCCATGGGCGGCCCGAGGCGAGCCCGGTCCAGCCCGTTGACATTGTGAATATTCACATTGACATGTTAACATTAATGTGAATATTCACATTGATAAGAGTATAAAATTGGCCCGCAATCCATGGATGGCCAAAAGCCCGCCCGCGACCCAAGGCAGGCCCGGCCCGGCCCGTTGACAATATGAATATTCACATTGACATGTTAACATTCACATTGATAAGAGTGTAAAATTGGCCCGCAACCCGTGGGTGGCCCGAAGCCCAACCACAGCCCGAGGCGGGCTTGACCCGGCCCGTGACAATGTAAATATTCACATTGACATGTTAACATGCACATTGATAGGAGTGTAAAATTAGCCCGCGCCCCGTGGCTGCCCGAAACCTGTCCACGGCCCGTGGGCGACCCTGGGCGGGCCCGGCCCGGCCTATTGACAATGTGAATATTCACATTGACATGTTAACATTCACATTGATAAGAGTGTACAATTGGCCCGTGACCCGTGGGCAGCCCGAAGCCCGACCTCGGGCCAGGGCGAGCCCGGCCCGTTGGCAATGTAAATATTCACATTGACATGTTAACATTCACATTGATAGGAGTGTAAAATTGGCCCGCACCCCGTGGGCGGCCCGAAGCGGGCTTGGCCCAACCCGTGACAATGTGAATATTCACATTGACATGTTAACATTAACATTGATAGGAGTGTAAAACTTGTCCGCTGCCCGAAGCTTGCCCGCGGCCCGGGGTAGGCCCGGACCCAAACCCGGGCCACCCCGGGCCGCCCACGGGCTTCAAGCCGCCCATGGGACATGAGTCAATTTTACACTCTTATCAATATGAATGTTAACATGTCAATGTGAATATTCACATTGTCAACAGGCCGGGCCGGGCCCGCCTCAGGCCGCCCAAGGGCCGTGGGCGTGTTTCGGGCAGCCACGGGACACGGGCTAATGTTACACTCTTATCAATGTGAATGTTAACATGTCAATGTGAATATTCACGTTGTCAACAGGCCGGGCTCGCGTCGGCCTAGGGTCGGGCTTCAGGCTGCCCACGGGTCACGGGCTAATTTTACACTCTTATCAATGTTAATGTTAATATGTCAATGTGAATATTCACATTGTCAACGAGTTGGGCCAGGCCCGCCCTAGCCAGCGGGCGGGCTTCGGGCCAATTTTACACTCCTATCAATGTGAATGTTAATATGTCAATGTGAATATTCACATTGTCAACGGGCCGGACCGGGCTCGCCCTGGGCCGCCCATGGGACGCGAGTCAATTTTACACTTTTATTAATGTGAATGTTAATATGTCAATGTGAATATTTACATTGTCAACAGGTTGGGTCGGGCCCGCCCACGGGCCGTGGTCTAGTTTCGGGCAGCCACGGTGCGCGGGCTAATTTTATACTCTTATCAATGTGAATGTTAACATGTCAATGTGAATATGTGCATTATCAACGGGTCAAGCCGGGCCCGCCCAGGGCAGCCCACGAGCCGCAGGCGGGTTTCAGGCCGGCCACAGGCCGCGGGCTAATTTTACACTCCGATCAATGTGAATGTTAACATGTCAATGTGAATATTCACATTGTCAACGGGCCGAGCCAAGCCGAGCCCGCCCTGACCCGGGCCCGGGCTTCGGGCTGCCCACGGGTCATGGGCCAATTTTACACTCTTGTCAATGTTAATATTAATGTTAATATGTTAATGTGAATATTCATATTGTGAACGGGCCGGCCCGGGCCCGGGCCCGGCGACGGGCTAGTTTCGGGCAGCCCACGGGCTGCAGGCCAATTTTACACTTCTATCAATGTGAATGTTAACTTGTCAATGTGAATATTCATATTATCAACAGGCCGAGCCGGGCCTATTTTTTTGGCCTGTGGGCCGGCCCGGCCCGACTCGAATTTTTCCGGGCACCCACGAGGATCGACATGGGCCGGGCCCCTACACATTGACGATATGAACATTTACGTTGACGGTGTGAACATTCACATTAAGGATATTTTGGTAATTATGTCACCCATAGGACTTATTGAGACGGTGTGAACATTCACATTAAGGGTATTTTGGTAATTATGTCACCCATAGAACTTACTGAAATATAAGAAAATAATGTGAACTAAATGGAACATAAATAGATGAAAAGGGTATTTTGGTCTTCTTATCTCAAATTGGACCTAATGGAATAGTCAAAAAAAATATGGGTTGGATGGAATAAAACTCTTAGAAAATGGATTTATCAAAAAAGCTCCCAAATTTAAAAATAATAATTAAAATAAATATATAATTTTATTATTAAATATGAATTGAAGTGATATTTAACAATAATTAATATAATATTTCTACTATTAATCCAATAATTTAAGTTACATTTCATTTTATTTCAATTTTATAACTAAAAATACAATATGAATATAATACGCACACGGATTTCTAGTCTTTATGAATAAAAAGG